AGTATTAAAGTACTAATATACGTTTATAGTTATCTTATTTTTCTTCAAACTCTCGACGAAAATGTTGTGAATTTTTTAAAAGAGGTTTGATGGATTTAGAGGTAGTACCTTTTTAATATATACTTGCTCATGGCTATCTTACGATATTTATTTTAAGATTAAAAAACTTGTGCCAGTTGTGGAAACCTCGTTACCGCGAAGGCGGTTTTGCAGTAACCCAAATTCGCTTCCGCCAAATCTAATTTTGGACAGCCTGATTCCCAGTGATCTTGAGTTGGCCACCTCTTGGAGCTTGAAATATTTTTTGAAATGCTAACCAAGGAGCAATAAGTCGACATTCTAATTCATTTAGATCGAAGAAAGGTGGTTTTTCTGGAAATTGCATTCCATTAGCAATCGCACAAGGAATTTTCCCTTTTTTTAGGTGGTTGTTACAGGTTTGACAAATCCATTCAATATTATCAATACTTTTTAAATTTTGTAGATACTCAGTCATATCAGGATTAACAATTCTTAGTCTGTCTGCAGGAGAAACAGAATGTTTATACCACAATTGGTCACAGCAAGTGCAAACATACAGAGGTCCTGTAGATATAGAGTTATGAAATTTTGTAACAAGTTCCAATGTATCAATGTTACATTGTGAATTATTACCTTTGTTATGATTTGCAATCACAGGGTTGGTATTTTTTCTAAAAGCTCTCTTCTTTTCTTTATCTTTTGCAAGTCTAGTTTACCTTTGCTGAGTGGTCTCATTTTGTCTTTTTGCTTTTTCAACATTCTTTTTTTTCCCAAGTCTAGCCTCCTTTTGCTGACTGGTCTCATTTTGTATTCTTGCTTTTTCAGCATTCCTTTCTTTTTACAAGTCTAGTCTCCCTTTGTTGAGGGGTCTCATTTTGTCTTCTTATTTTCTCAGCATTACATTTTTTTGCAAGTCTAGCCTTCCTTTGCTGAGTGGTCTCATTTTGTCTTCTTGCTTTTTTTGCATTATTCTCCATTGCAAGTCTAGCTTCCCTTTGCTGAATGGTTTCATTTTGTCTTTTTGCTTTTTTAACATTATTTTGTGTAAGTTTAGCTTCCTTTTGTTGAGTGGTCTCATTCTGGCTTCTTGAATATGATTGTGTGTCCACACCATCACAATTGATGCACTTTACACCCCTCAACTCAAATGGCAATATGATATTTGCTTCAGTGCATGTTGATGTTAATCGAAAATATTGTACAAAATTTTCTATTCCTTCGACTGATATTAAAACACAGTAACCAAATGCAGATGGTCTACCACATAAATCTCGTGAGTGTGAATCAAACACTTTAAATACACCAGGAAAAGACATCATGACTGCTACAGTATTCATACCAATTGTAAGCAAACAACTTTTATAGCTTAAAGAATCAAATACTTCATTCAAAGCATGCTCAAGAGTCACATATGGGGGACTATTTTCACTCAAATATAATGCTCCTGAGAACGAATTACTGTATTGCAAATTAAGAGAATGATTATCAACATCTACAAACTCAGGCACATCAGTCAGTAATAAATAACTCTTATTTATACTCTGGCTGATAATTCCATACAAAGTGTTTCCTCTTACTAAAATTGTGTTCAGAATTGACTGATCCCAAATATTGACTGATTTAATTTCTTTGTAAACAATTGCATACAGTGACATGGCTACACACTGTTTACCAGCATTCATACCAAACATTAAATCATTACCTTGATTAACATCAGCATGTACTGTATAAGCAGGATCAACTATATCATTTATAGTCCTAGGACCCGGATTTGCCTCCACATCATTGGAGAGTCTTAGTAACAATGGCACATAAACATTGTGATAATATATCATTTGAACATACCATAGGCACAATTCACTGTTCTTTTGACTCTTATTAAATTGGCTTTTCAGATAAGGCAACCAGAATACATTAAAATAGAACAGTAATAGGATTTGATTCCAAAGTTTCCCCTTAAGACGGCACATACTGTTGCGACGGTCTGTAAAATTGTGGTGTGAACCAATCCTTGACCGATAAACTTGAATGGTAACGCCCATATCTGTCTAAAACTCATAAATTAAATTTCAATTGTTCACTTGAAGTTTTTATTTGTCAGTAAATTTGTCAGTAATGCACCTGTACGTCCTCGTGGCACGTGTTATCTCAGCACAGCAGAGTGGCTGTCTATATATTGAAAATTCGTCAAGTCTGCTGCAGCAAGTGTTTTGTTTGAATATATCAGCACAACGGCTGTCGTTTTATATAAACGCACAATCGCTGGGTTCAATTTCAATACCCGCACAATGGCTGGGTTCAATTTCAATACCCGCACAATGGCAAGGTTCAGTTTTGGTACGTGGCCTTTCACGTAAATGATCCCTGATCTATGACGACCAGTGCGAGCAACAATGGCTCCGTTTATTTGATTTTTTGATACGTGCACCTCTGACACGTAGAGCGCCTGACAAATAGCCAGTGCAGGCAAGTTTGCCTCGTAAAAACGATGTAGCTCCTAAATCCGATTGTGGTCGAAATTGCTGGACCACAATGGACAAATGAGCGATTGAAATAAACAAATATCCCAACAAATATCTTACCTTGGCCTAGAAATTATGAGGTGCTGTTACCACCAAAATTCAGACACGTTATTTTATAAAATGCAGGGTCGAATTTATAAAATGGAGGGTCGAATTTATAAAATGCAGGGTCGAATTTATAAAATGGAGGGTCGAATTTATGAAATTCAGGGTCGAATTTTCTTAAAATGCAGGGTCGAATTTTTAAAATGGAGGGTAGAATTTTGTTAAAATGGAGGGTCGAATTTTCTTAAAATGCAGCAGCCACCGGGGATTTATCCCCGAGGATTATTTTGCCGCATTTCGCGCCATATTATAATCATAATTTCTCACATCATTACTATAGAATATGGCGGAAGAATATTCAAATGTCGCTCAGCTATTTAGCAAGCTAGCGACCTGATTGCGTAGCTTTCCTATACCAGATGCCGTGGGCCAAACAAATAACAGACACCCTGTTACCGAAACAACATCAAATGTTCCAAGTTCTCAAACAAACAAACTTGTAGCAAATGCAGCTCGAGCTTCAACGTCGACTTCGTCAAGGGTACATAACGAACTACAAACCCTTTTCCCTCATCATTTTACTTCAACTTCTGGCCAGAGAAAAAATTTTTCAAATTCAAGAAAGAGAAGAAGGAAAAATAACCAAGATAATGCCAAGAATAGTAAAAAGTCCAATGTGAAAAGTCTTACAAGAAAATTTGTCTGTTTATCTGACAAGGACCAGCAAGAGGTGCCCGAACGTGAAGAAATGCGAGAATTATTAGTCCATGGCCTTGGCGAAGTTAAAATAGCTATACCAGAAGACGCTAATGAAAAGACAACTAGAGACAAATTAATTGAAACATTTCCAAAGCTCAAAAATAGTGGTGGATTCGAGTTTATGTACGTACAGTGCAGAAGGAAGGATCTTAATGTTGTACCTCCAGGGCCAGATGGTCTTTCAATGAAGTATCTGGCTTCTTTCATTGGTCAAGGAAAGATATATGTCCGTCCCATTCAACAAGATCTGCCTATTGAAGAAGATGAAATTGAAGCTGTGGAAGTTGAAAAAGAGCAATGTATTAATTGTTCCCTCATGGTGGACATTCATCTTTTAAGAGAGCATTATGAAATTTGCACTGAGGATGTAACCCAATCAACAGGTACTATTTCAGAATTGTTAGAAATTGTAACTCACTTATGTCAATTAAAGAGTACTTGATCATGCTGTCACTGTCAGCTGGTAACTATAATCAGTGATTGTAATACTGACAAAAAAATTCTTAAATTTTTTTTACCCTGGTTGGTTATACAGTAGCTAAAGCTTTAACCATATAGTCAAAAGAGAATTTTAAAGCTCACCTTGAATAACCAAAACAATACTATATTGTGTGCCTTATGTCATTCCTAATTTCTTATGAAATACCCTATATGATAATACAACATATTTTAATTCACTCAGTGCACCTAAGGGATACTGGTTGTCTGAAGCGTGGAATAAAACTTTGGATATTATAATCACAACTCTTCAACAGCCAGACTTTTGCCTTAAATTGCGGGGCTTTTTAAGGGGATAAAACTACATTGCTACATCATAATGAAGATAATATTTAATGTAAATTCCAACTGAGCTATACTAAATGCTGAATGGGACCATTTGAAAAGAGAAAGTATTTGAGCTTATGAAAATAAGTACCTCTATCTAGTAGAGTAATCAGTATTGTTTCATATTTTATTGGTTTAGAGTTGTCAGAAGGAGTTGAAGACATTACTCCAGATGAATTTCTTGAAAGGCCTGCATTTCAGTTGGAAAGGGACAAGAAAACTAATGAAGTGACTGACAATCAACATCATATTGCTACACCTGTAACCAATGCAGCTGAAATTTCACAGCATAATTCATTCCCAGCTACCACTAGTACCAGTAAGTATTTTAGAGCATACATAAAGTGTGAGACAATAAATACAACCAATGGTAGTAAGGTTTTACAACAATGTTTTGAAAGATTAAGATTTTTAATAGTACATTAGCATATTTTTAGTATATTTAAAAACTATATTTTCAGGAACCTATGATCAGCATTCTGATGGGGAATATAGAAATTACATAAGTATTATAGATGATGAGATAAGTGATAATGATGACCCACAACTTCAAGTGGCAATTGAAGAGAGTTTGACTAAAACTGATGCCACTGAAGAGAGCCAAAGTGTACAAGAACTGCTGTCTGCCTTTCAGTCTGCAAACCTTTCCAATTCTGAATCAACTTTCCTAAATGCAAATGTTACTGTCAGCAGAAAGTGTGTCTTTTCCTCAACCCAGAGAGCAATAGAAAGAAATAGATTTACATTCTTCAAGCCAGTTGTTGTTGCATTTGCTGGTGAAGAAGCAGTTGACGAAGGAGGCCCAACAAGGGAATTTTTCGGTTGTTAATGTGTGAAATAAGTGAATCCTCTATATTTCACGGGTCTTGGTTTTCTCATGACCTTGGTCTCCTTGCAAGCAGATGTTATGAATTAGCTGGGAAGCTTGTTGCTTGGAGCATCCTGCATGGAGGAAGTGGCCCTCGCTGTTTATCGTCAGTTGGTTATGATCTGCAACAATCGTGCCAGGTTGCTCTGGAGAAAGGCGTTGATGCTGTTAATGACATGGAAATGAAAAGCATGTTGCAAGACTTCATAAATTGCACATCTGAAGATATCTTCACATCATTGGTCAGCCAGCATGGTGACAAAATTGCAGAGCTTGGTTATTCAAAAATCTATAGTTGCAACCTGTCACATAAAAATGAAATGATTGAGTCCTTGCTGAAGCAACATTTTGTTTATGGGGTCAATGCAGAAGTATTGCAATTCTTCTATGGATTAAATTCTATTGGTCAGCTTGGTGACATGATTTTGCAAAACAGAGGGCTGTTTGATTTGATCTTGGGCAACCAACATCCGGTATTAACAAAATCAACATTCATGGCATTGTACGAGCTAAACCGTTCAGAAGAAGGTTCCAATGAGAGAAGCAAGGAAGATACTACAATCTACTGCTTCAAAGTTTTTCTGCAAGATCTCGAAGAAGGTGATGTTCACAGGATATCTTTGGAAGATCTTCTTGTATTTAACACTGGGGCCAATTGTTTCCCTCCATTAGGATTCAGTAAGAAAATTATTATTGATTTTTATAACTTTGAAGAAAACAACCGTCGTCGTCCATTTGCATCAACATGTGGACTCTATTTTTTCCTTCCAAGAGGATTTGAAGATCCTGTTGAATTCTCAGAATTCTTAAGAGAAGCACTTTTGCAGTGTCATGGATTCGGAAAGCTCTAAATGTGATATATCTCATTAGTCATAAACAACAGGCAGCCTTAATAAAATTTTATATTTTTTTAATGTTCTGTTCATTGGGAATGATGGTCTCATATTTAAAGTTGTGAAAGTTAATTGGTGTTTTGAAAAGGCCATTTTTTGTGAATAAGCATGATAGATATAATTATGAATTCTTTCTTGCTTTTAAAGATATAGAACTTTGTAAGATATCTAATTGGCACAACTAATGACATCACACTGCATAATGGAAGGTAAAATTTCAGCAAAAAATAGAACCATGGTTCAAAATTAACCATGATGTTAATTCACACATGCATGGTACTTTAATTGTTAGATATTTCAAGTTCAAAATTAAGATATTTTAACTAGCCAATTAATATTTTTCCAAAACCCAGGCAGTGTGACATCACTACATGTGTTATTTTGATATCTTGGAAAAGTTGAATATACTTGGGTTATGTTAAAGACTAAGGAAGCACTAAAGCTATCTGAGATAAGCTGATGTGAAGTTTGAAGATGCATGTCAAATCTGTGGGTTCACATTCTGTTCACATATTTAGATATTTATATATTCAAGTGCTGTTCTTGAAATTGCAACATATCTACATGTGTATAATAAAGTATTTACACTGTATTTACATTTCTACCTCTGTTACATTGCAATGTAAAGTTTTTAACAAATTGATAGCTGCGAACAGATTCATACGGGGAAGGATTACTTGGGCAATTCTGTGTAAACTCAACATTAAGTTAATCAAACTGTTGTTGAGACAAGGGACAATTGGTCTCATCGACTTCAACATCCTGTTCATAACAGGCATCCGAACTTGCTGGACCATCCCAATCTATGCCATATTCACTATCAACCATGTCTTGGGCTCTTTCTGCATTCTCAAAATTTCCCTGAACCCAGAGTTGAAGTGGGGTTTTATTTTGCTCAGAACTCAGAGGGTGTCGTATCCACGCATTAGCCCAAGATTTCAATTTTGTATTAATAACTTGGCAAAAGCAGTAGTGTAAGCACCAAAAATCTATTTCGTTTATTGGGTCAAGCAAACCAATATCTTCCATTGACATGAAAATGTCATAAAACAAATCTAAGACATCCCTGTAAACATCCCGCCATAGTCGTTCCACTCTTTGGTTATGCACACTTCTCCCGACAAGTGCAGAACCTCTATCAGTTCCCCGTTTATTAATGATGTACTCTACAACATCAACATTTTCTCCACCTTTATCGCATCGAATACAAGATGGCAATCCCCATTGTTCAACAGCACTTAAGGAACTTTGTAGCACTGTATGCGCTTGATTATTGGTATGGCAATCTAAAAACACAGGAATCCTAGTATATTCATCCACGCAACCATGCACAACGAACCGCCACCTAATAAGTTTATGGTTTCCATCTAAGTGCCACAAAGCCAATGGACGAGAGACACAGTACACCCTGCGATTAATTGAATGGCACTTTCTTGCAGCTACTCCAAGGGGGTCAACTCGGCTTAGAGAATCTCTAATACGTGCTGGTGGAACTTTAATGTTACAGGAAGCTAAATGCCCAGCAAGGTTTTTAGAGCCAGTGTTTGGGTAAAATAGCTTGATTTCACGAATTTTATTATCCAGGTCGCAATTGGAAATATCTGTAAATGATCGCGCTGACAAACCAAATTGAGAAATACGACGCTTGATTGTTCTTCTGCCAATTTGTAACATCTCCGCAATTTGTGGAACATTAAAGCCAACATCTAAAAGACCTTCAAGTTGCTCTCTGGATAGATCATAAGAAGGACGTCCGGCTTTTCCAGTATATATCTTAGGAGTTTGTGACCATGTTTTCACATTTCTTTCCAGGATTCTTTTGGCAGTCAGCAAATCACGAAAAATGTCTTTAGGCATTCTTACATTGTTATCCAAAGCATACAATGCCTCGAATATAAGGTCCACCTCTTCAAGAATTTCATTTGCTTCTAAGCTGTTATTTTGCATAGAAAAATGGATGTTTTCAAGTTTTAGAACCGTTAATCTTTTTAACTCATTTGCTGTTACAGACTCGTCAGACTCCAAATCATTGTAGTTTAGCGCCATTTTGAATTTTTCATTTGCGCGGGAAATTTTTCGTCAACATACTGTAACTGAGAAATTACCGTACAATTTGTCGCGTTCAAATTATCACACAAATTTGGCTTGCCTACAATAGCCCCCGGTTTTAAAAATTCGACCCTGCATTTTTAGAAAATTCGACCCTGCATTGTAAGAAAATTCTACCTTGCATTTTAAGAAAATTCGACCCTGCATTTTAAGAAAATTCGACCCTGCATTTTATAAATTCGACCCTGCATTTTATAAATTCGACCCTGCATTTTATAAATTCGACCCTCCATTTTATAAATTCGACCCTGCATTTTATAAATTCGACCCTCCATTTTATAAATTCGACCCTGCATTTTATAAAATAACGTGTCTGAATTTTGGCGGTAACGGCACCTCATAAGAAATGTGCGAAAATCTTCGATCGATCGAACGAAAATGAAATTTGCGAAACCCTTCAAATGAAAATGAAATCTTGAATTGTTTTGAATTCTTGATAACTTCCACATTTGGAAATTGAAAGATCTGCTTCCATGCCTTTTTTGTTTTATTAAATTTTAAGTATAGAAATTTATAAGCGACTTTTACAGATTAATTTCTCCGTCCTGCTCAAATCACAATGGTTTATGTACATGTTTTGTTTTTGGCTCATTTTTTTTAACACTTTACTTCGGGTTTGTCGGACTTATTCAGCGAACTGGATTTCTCCTCCCAGCTTGACAAATTTAACTTTTCTTGCTGCTATATTTGGGGACTGGACGGAATTATGGAAGTTAATAAATAATGCCATATTTGGAAAACCGCATGCAACAAACGTTCTTTTTGCCTCTGCTGCTGTCCTGGAAAGGTTTTAAACAGTCCGTGGAAAATACATTTTTTTTTAACAAGGGTAAGGGAAGTGAAAACGTTTTACTTTCGTATTGATGTCGTCAGGAACGCCGGAACATTGCAAAGGGAAAGAGAAGGAACGCCGGAACATTGCAAAGGGAAAGAGAGGCAGATTCCCGTAAAAGGGCACTTCTGTTTTAACGCACACTAAATAGTGCTGGCAAAACATTCGCGGGAAGTGGAACTTCGTCTCATCATGATTTATCTTTATTGCATGATTTCGGGATCTGGGAGTGTTTTGCCAGGCGAATGGACTATTTTTTACCTAATATTAAAAATTTTTTTTAGTCCTTTGACATGGCAGATGAAAGTATCACTGGTTTTGTTCAAAATGTTTCCCCTATTCAATCAGGGCCAAAGAAGAACTTCTTTGACTTTCAATTGCAGACTGAAGTTGACAAGTCAGTGAGAGCAATATGCTTTTCTCCCCCCAAACGAAAGCTGTTTGTTGAATGTGAAAATGATTCAACCCCTGTAAAAATCTGCAAGTTCAGACATGACAACAAGGAAGATTCAAGGGATATCTTGATGGGTGACCACATTGTTGTCACAAAGTTGAAGACAAAGGATGTTTCTTTTCCAAAGAAAGATTTTATTGCTGCTGACTTCAACTTATCTATGCTACAAACCATTTCTCCTCAGCAACTTGTCAGCTTGAAAGCCAAACTGTTACATCTGCAGAAGGAACAAGTTGTAAACACCCCACAAGGAGTCCTAAGAATGGCTGAAGGGTTGTTGGTGGATGTACAAGGTTCAGCTAAGATCACTTTCTGGGAAGATGACATAAAAAAGGTTGAGCCTGGCAAGACATACCAGTTTAAAAATCTTAGAGTAAAAAAAGACAAACTGGCTGGGAATCTTTATGTTAATCTTGCAAAAGGAATTGGAACTATTTTGCCCTGTGAAGCTTTTAAATGTGATCTTTTTATACCTGACTATGATCCAAGCCAACTAACAACATGTACACTCAACCAAGCTCATATTTCTGGTATTACAGAAGTCCGCCTCAATTACTGTTGCTTCAAGTGCAACAGCAATGTGGAAGAGAAGAACATCACGACATGTGAGAATACAAGATGCAAGCTCGTACAAAGGCTAGATAAGTGCAATAAAAAATGGTATGCAAAGGCACTTGTCAGTGCAGGTGATGTCCATGTTTATCTGATTTTTCGTGATCAAGTTTTGATGAGAGCATTGTCCTTGTCAGAAGCATTACCTCCCAATCTCACAAAGGAATTCATTGTCAAAAAGCTGCTGCTGCTGGAAACCATTAATATTACTTATCATGGTAAGTCAAAACTCGTTGAAAGTCTAGAGTTATGTTGGGAATAGAACTTGAATACTTTATTTGTTTTGCTAAAGTATTAACATTATATATAGAACAGTGGTTAAAATCAGGTTAAAGTTATTGTGCTTGAATTTCTTTTGTTCAAAGTTGAAATTGGTTGAAAGTCCGGATTTATTTTGGCACCATGAACTTGAATACTTCATTTCTTTTGTTGAAGTATTGACATTATAGAACAGTAAGTTAAAATCATGTTAATGTAACTTGTTTGGACTTCATTTGTTTTGTAAATATTAAAGTGAAAGTCAAGTCCTTTCTGCACATTGTTTCTGCTCATAAAAATGTGATAACTCCTGAAAGTAAAAATTGACCACATTTAATTGCATGTTTCAAAATTCTCTGGGCAAAAACTTTAGTTCATACTCATTTAGAACAATAGCAAGCCAAAATGGTACTATGTATCAGATACTGAAAAAGGTATATCATTTTTAAAAAATACAACAGTTCAAAATGTTAAAGGGGAACTCCACTCCCAAAACAAGTTTGGTTTATCTGAAAGATAATACCTTGAACAGATTGTTCCTGAAGTATTTCGGTCTAATTCTTTATAGTAAAGCAGAAATCGCTCGTCAAAGTTCGCGATTTTTGCATATTTCAACGCCATTTTGTTATTTCCAGTGCAGACGCGAATTCGGTCAGCGCCCTCATTTTTGATGTCATTGCGTGCTTCGACGCA